CACAACAACTGGGTAGCTCACCCATACGACCTCCATCGCCACCCCAATCATCACTCTCACCACCATCCTTGCTTCTATAGATTTGATTTTGCGACGTCAACACGCTCCATCTGTGCCCTCTCATCCCCTCAAAACTCTAACTTGGCCCTTTTCAAGCTCCTTTTTTTGGAGGTTTCGCCAAAATTTTCAGCCTCGTCAAGAACGACCTCCCTCTCAACACAACCCCTCCGAATTCCTTCTCCGTTCGAGCTTTTTCAAGACATAGTTGACCCTGATAAACCCCCTACGCCCCCTCAAAATTGCAAGTGACCGTTTGAACACTTCGAACGGAAGATTGACCCGGGTTTCCCGATCCTCTGTCTTAAGTCGTTCTGCGATGCGAACACAGTAAAGGCAAGCTGAGTTGAACTAGGCTTACAGTCAGCGTTTGGAGACGTAAGGCCGCGTTCATACTCCACGATTTAGAAAATTAGAAGACTAAGCAATAGGAGATCAAGAGATTAGTAGAACCGCATCTATTCATTTTAGCGTATCTTAAGCGTATTTCTGAACTCCTACCCTCCCAATCTCTTGATCTCCTAATCTTCCAATCAATGCACACCTTTTTCATCATCACCTGATCTCCTGATTTTGCGACCAGTGGAGTATGAACGCGGCTTGATAAATCAACACTTATCTAACCTTTTCAGGTTAACCCTCCATATCCTGGTTCTGATTTTCTTTTTCTTCTTTTCTAATCTCCAGTCATATCACTCAATCTAATCTTCCCACATGAACTTTTCAGTCTCCTTTTCTCCTACTCTTTCTCCGTTTGCTCATTTTCCGAAACGTATGTGAGCGTTGGCTTACTAGCAAGACGTTCGAGTTCACTCGAAAAAGTACATCTATGCATACCAGGGGTACGGATCACTAGCTCGCTTGAAAAACACCAGCGCTGTTTTGAATACATATATCCCATGGAAAGCTCGTGATTTACTCAAAACTCAGCATCCTTGTGGTGAGGATATTGACTGATCTCTTCTATTTATTCATCAATACAGGACCGGACTTACCAACATAGGCTGTTCGATCGGTAACCATGTACTTGTTGTGATTTACACGTGCAAATGGTATTTTTTGCTGTTCCTCTGAGGATGGTACAGTGAACAGTTTCTAAAAGGAAGAATTAGATTTTTCAACAAATCGTGACCGATAAGAAAGGAACGAACTAGGTAACATTTTGGCACACCTTCCAAATTCTTGTATTAAGGGAAATAAATAAGGATAAAGGATAAAGCATTTGCCGTTGATCAATCCCGTCTTGGGGATGCGGCACGCATTCTACTTCCATTTGTACATTCGTAGTGGCGTTTGAATGCGATGTGGCCTATACAATGACTTGCGGGGGCCAGCCGAAGTCAGTGTTTTTATCCTCCCAGACAAGTCTGGTACCAATTAACCGACCCCGGAGGGATGGAAGGCTTGGTTGGCCCGGGCGACTCACGACCCAGGATTTGATCCCCGGACCGCTCGCGTGGTAAGCGTGCCACTTGCCACTACACCACTTCCGCCCTAAATAATAAAACAAAATATTCATTTATACGTGAGTATCTGGAGCTAAATTCGGGTGGTGGAGAAGCAGGTTCTGTTTCAAGTCCCCTTGCTGCTGATCACCTAAAGGTTCTTTTTTCAAACGAACAGCTTTTCTGGGAAT